ACGTAATTTTCCCATTCTGAGTGTCTTCTCATTTGCACACGCACATGCATGCGTGGGCGCCCAGAGGCATCTGCATGAGGAGGTCAGGGTATCAGGTGTTTTCTTCTCGGCTCTTTACCTTATTCCGAGACAGGGTCTCTCATTTGGACAGCAGCTCACTGTTTTGTCTAGGTTGACTGGCCACTGAACTCTCAGCTCTGCCTCTATCTGTGTCCCAGTGCTGTGGTTACAGGCATGCACAGCCTGGGGGTTCAAGCTCTGGTCCTCAGGCATGCAGAGCAAGCACTCAGCCTGCTCTTACTCACTGAGCCATCTTTTCATCCTTTCACTTTTTTGTTTTAGAGACAGGGTCTCTATGTAGCCCTGACCAGTCTGGGACTCACGATGTAGACCAGGCTGGCTTGATTAAAGGTGTGCATCACCACATCTGGCCCCTTTCATTTCCTTTTTCTAAAAAGTTTTATTTTTATTTCATGTGTGTGAGTGTACTGCCTGCATGTATGTAAGTGCACCCATGTCGTGCAATGCCCATGGAGGTCAGATGAGGGTGTCAGATCCCTTGGAATTGGAGTTATAGACAGGCATGTGGGTGCTGAGAATTGAACCCGGATCCTCTACAAGGGCAGCCAGTGCTCTTAACCACTGAGCCATCTCTAGCCCCTTCTCTTCACCTTCTTGATAATGTCTTGACATGCAGCAGCTTGTGATAGTCAATTTCTTTCTTTTGTTGCTTGTAGTTTTAGTGACCTATCTTAGAAACCCCTGCTAATCCAAGGCCACCAAGATCTATGCCTTGTTTTCTTCTCAGTATAATGGTTTGCTTTTATATTTAGGTTTTAAAAATCTACTTTTCATAAATGTTTGTATACGGTATGAAGGGTATAACTCCATTCTTTTGCACGTGGCTATCTAATGGTTTAAGCATCATTTGCTGAATTCTTTTTTTCCTTCAGTAAAATGCCGTGGTCTTGGCATTTTTGTTGAAAACTGATTGATCATAGTGTACTTACCAGTGTTTATTTCTGGACATTTTACTCTCTCCTGTCGGTCTGCATGCGTATTTGCAGAAAAAATTGAAAGTGGAAATGTTGAGTCTTCCCACAGTGTTTCTTGTTCAAGATACTTGTTTTTTTTTTTGGTCCCCCCTTTGGGTTTCTTGAAATTCCATATAAATTTTAGGATTGACTTTACTAATCTAGCAAAAAGGTTACTTGGGGTCTTGATAGGGATTGCACTGAATCTGTAGACGATGGTGGGAATGCTGTCACAGTACAGTGTTGTCTCCCAACTTGTGAGCACAAGCTGTCTTCCACGTGTTCAGATCTTATTTCATAATGCTTTGTACTTTGCATATACAAGTCTTATACTTCCTCGGCAAATGTATTTGTTTCATTCTTTTCAAGTCACTATAGATGGCACTGTTTCTTTAATGTGACTGTAGTTTTGTTAGTGTATAGAAATACAACTGACTTGTGTGTGATCTTGCACTCCACAAAATACTGAATTTTTACAGTAGTTGTGGTTTAATGTGGATTCTTCAGAATTTTTAATATGTAGGATACTCTTTGCTAATATAATTTTACTTCTTTGTTTCTAATTTGAGTTCCCTGTTTCTTTTTCATTTCCTAATTTCTCTGGCTAGAACTCTGAGTTCCATGATGAATCACCCTAGGGAGAGAGCATTTTCTTGATCATAGGGGTGATGTTTTTACTCTTTGATTATTATATTGTTTTCTGTGGGTTTTCAGAAATGCTTTCATCAGGGTAAGGAAATTCCCCTCTTCCAAGTTTGCTTTTGTTAAAAAAAAAAAAAGGTTATTGGATTTTGTGAAAAGCCTTAAAAAAATCTATTAAAATGTTATTTCACCCATTCATTCTACTACTATAGAAGATGACACTTTTGCACCCCTATGATAAATTTCACTTGGTCCTGGTATATAATCATTTTCTTATGTTGCTAGGTTTGGGAGTTTGAGGACTGCTATAATTTCTATGTTTGGCAGAGTTCACCAGTGAACTAATCTGGTCCTGGACTTTCTTTGCTAAGAATTTTTTTTAAATTACTGACTTGAGCTCTTAATTTGTTTTCGATCTGTTCAGATTTTTCATTTTTTAAGTCAGTTTTAATAATTTGGCTATGAATTTGCCCATTTCATCTAGGTTATATGATTTGTTGGGATGATAGCTTATTTTTAATGAATAAACTTTACACTTAAAATATGCACAATATTTAAAGCATTTGAAAAGTTGGGGTCAGGAGAGATGGTTCAGTGGTTACGAACACTTGCAGTTCTTCCAGAGGACCCAGGTTCAATTCACAGCACCCACATAGTGGCTAACAACTGTCTGTAACTCTGGTTCCAGGAGATCTGATGCCCTCTTCTGGCCTCTGTGGACATTGCACAACATGGGTGTACTTACATACATGCAGGCAAAACACTCATACACATAAAATAAATAAAATTTAAAATATA